TGAGCCGCTAATGAGCCTTTGAGTCGCTTATTTAGCACGTTAATAATTTTTTCAGTTCTTGTTAACCCGCTCGTGACGGTTCGTCAACGGCGGCTCCCTAACCCCCCCCCTAAATCTGGTAAGGATAGCGCACTCGGATAAGGCGGTGATGTTTTTTTAACATGAGCTTCAACAGTCTTGGTGTAGCCTTTTACCTGACGAGCGAACTCTTATGAGATTAGCAGAGTCTCATAAAACAAGCGGACTCTCATCAGATGAGCGGACCGTTCATCAGATAAAGCGACAAGTAAATCGACGTCCGGATCTTTGACTATGTCGATGAACTTGCTGTCCGCGGGGTACTTGTCATGTTTTTGGATTGCTTCGGAGTCCTTTTTGAAGAGCATTCGTGGCATTCTTCGCAGTGGTCAACTGAAGAGTGACACCCATCATGACGTGACTTCCATTCGCCGCTCATGTCCCCTGTTGTCTCGGCTCAGGTTCCCACCTCTCCCTACTAACATCAGAAGCAACGGGTCAACATGCCCCAGCACATGGGACACGCGGTGGGTCTCTTTCAGCCCGGAGACTGAAAGCTACTGCATTTCCCCAATGTTAAATCCATCCCAGCTCACCGAACTCAGAGCTCGAACTCTGTTGAACGAAAAGACTGGGAAAACGGCACTGTGTCCGTTGTCCAGGGTTTGGGTCTTGGGATTTTGGCGATATCTCCAGAGTTACCTCGAAAACCCGTTTATCGGCCTGATGAATTAATATTGAAAAGCGTGAATATGTTTAAGAAGATAGTAAAAAGTCAGGAAACTTTACTTATTAGATCGATCCTAGTTAACAGAGTTCCAAAAACCCAACTCGGTTTAACCAATCCGGTAATAAATTACTAGTATATCTGTTTTCTGGGGTTAGAGCAATTATGATTTTACCAATATCTCGGTGCTTATTACAAATCTTCGTCCTTACTACCTTGGTTGGAATCTGAAGCAAGTATTAAGCCTGGGGAAATATTCGAAGAGGTCTTGAGGCATCTTTCAAGCTCGAGGCTAGTAGGAATGTCAAGAATCAGCTGCCCTGACCCTCTTCTCCACTGGGCTGGGCCTCGCACCCTTGAATCTCGCCGCGGGGCCTGAACACGCCGAGTTCCTTGAGCCCTTCCTCTCCGGGGAGGGGAGCCCTCTCGCGTCGTTGGTGTTTTCGGAACCGGGGGGTGTAGCGAACGCTCTGGAACGGGGTGGGAAGGGCTTCCAGACGACTGCACGGCGGGAAGGGGATGAGTGGGTGATCAACGGGGAGAAGATGTGGGCTACGAATTGCGCGGGGTGGGATTTTAGGGGTTGCGAGTTGGCTTGTGTGGTTTATAGGGATATTACGACCCCGCTTGAAGAAAGGCAGGATCCGAAGGATAAAGTAATGATTATTCTGGTGACGAGGGGGGATTTGGATAGGAATGGGGAGGGGGCTTTTGAGGTGGTGAGGCATGTTGCTACGCCGGGGCATACGAGTGTAAGTGGGCCGCATGTGCGGTATACCAATGTCAGAGTGCCAGCCAAGAATGTTTTGTGTCTACCGGGAAAGGGGGCGGAGGTGGTATTTGGGGCGTTTGATGGGAGCGCGGTGCTGGTTGGGGCGACGGGGGTGGGGTTGATGAGGGCTGCTTTTGACGCTGCGATTGCATTTGCCAAGAGGGATGATAGGGGCGGGGTGGTGCCGTTGTTGGAGAGGCAGGCTTTTGCGGATTTGTTGAGCGGGGTGAAGATGCAGACGGAGGCGGCAATGGCGTTGACGTGGAAGGCGGCGCATGCGATGGAGAATGGGCCGGGGGAGTATGATGCCAGGCGAGAGCTGGCGCTGGGGGCGAAGGTGTTTGGGAGTGAGGCTGCGGTGAAGGCTTGCATGGATGTGATTAATGCGGTTGGGATGTGAGTTTCTTCTTGATGGGGTTTGAAATTGTTGAGATTGAAGCTGACCTGTGATGTTTTAGTACTGCGTATGAACTTGATCAGCCGTTCTCAGATCTGCTCAACACTGCGGTTGTGCTGCCGATTTTTGATGGTGGAAATGTGGGCATCAGGAGACGGCACTTGCAGCAGTTGATGCTTTCCCCAACGTACGATGCATGGGCGGCCACCTATGGGCCCTCGCAGGAGTGATGGTTTTGGTTAACGTAGAACACTTTGCAAGAAACTGAATGTTTTGGATACCTGCTTTCATTTGGACTTGTTGATCCAGGTGAATTCTTTGACAGTTCCGCCATCGGACAACAGCCGTCAGAATCCCCTTCCGGCATGCTCGGTCGCAGCTGCCGGCATGTGGTTGGAGTTAGTGGGGCTCTAAGTCCGGAGGTCCGGGAATCCCCACACACTCAGCTCCGGGGTTGGAGTGAGCCGAAAGCTTGAATCAACGATAGTCGCACACGTTGAACAACGAAATTTTGGAAGAGCCAAATGCAAAATAAAGTCCGATGCTGAGTAACTTAGAAACGTGTTTAACACTGGTTTCATCGATCCCATAATGATTGTCTCTGTTGTTACGATGCCACTCTTTCGCCGACACATCGGCGTTCCGGACAAGGATCGGGCTTTCCATCTCTTAGCTCCGGAATAGAACGACAAAAGGGAGAAGCGTTAGAGTGAAGCTCTAAAGTTTCCCTGAATAGAGCTTGGATCTTACAATTACGGTATTATTACGTCCCGACTACCCCTGAGTTAAACAAGTCATGCTATGTTGACAACACCCTACGCTAACTACTGACATTATTGGAAAGCGCCATAGCTCCTGCGAACTACATTAGTTACTCTTGCCCCTGAATCTGTTTTTAACTTCTTAATTTCTCCTGCCTTTCCTGTCTTTCCGCAATTTCGATACGCAAGCGACGCGCAAGCAAATACTTCGAAATGGGATCCAACAGCACCAACAACTTCAACGCCGCCTCGCTCTTCAGCGTGGAGGGTATGGTCGCCGTCATCACCGGCGGCGGAACTGGTACCTCCCCCTTGTCCGCCCCTCTCCATTTCCCTCTTTTATTGACCCATCCTCCTCCATCCAGGCATCGGTCTCACTATGGCCCAAGCCCTCGCCGCCAACGGCGCCTCCAAGATCTACCTCCTCGGCCGCCGTAAATCCGTCCTCGACACCGCCGCCCTTCAGAACCCCTCCGTCTTCATTCCCATCCAATGCGACGTCACCTCTGCGTCATCCCTCCAGTCCGCAGTCGATATCATTACTGAGCAGTCCGGATTCGTCAACCTCTTCGTTGCCAACTCCGGCGTGCTTGGACCCACTAACGGGTTTGACCCCTCCATGTCCCTGTCGGAGATTCGGCAGAAGATGTTCGATGAGAAGACAATGAGCGCAATGACGGATTGTTTGAATGTTAACGTTACGGGTGCGTTTTTCAGCATTGTGGCGTTTTTGGAACTCTTGGATATGGGGAATAAGAATGCGGTTGAAGGGAAGGGAAGTAAGGTCTTTGGACGGAGTGATAAGCAGGGGAGTGATGTGCCGAGTGTGCAGAGTCAAGTTATTGTTACTAGTAGCATTGCTGCTTTCAGTCGTCACCCAGCGTCCAAGCCGGCATACGCGGCGGGTAAGGCGGCGGTTTTGCACCTTGCCAAGCAGGCCAGCTCGAATTTGGCGAGGTTTGGGATTCGGGTGAATGCGCTTGCACCTGGATGTGAGTTTTGCCCGTAATTTGTGGGAGAGAAAGGGAGGCTGACAAGAAACGCGCAACACAGTGTTCCCATCTGAGCTCGCGTCCGGGCTGATTGGAAGTCGAGACCCCGGCACTGAATCCAGCGACGAACCGCGGTTCATTCCCGCCAAAAGATTTGGCGGGGAGGAGGAGATGGCGGGCACGATATTGTATCTTGCCAGCCGCGCTGGAAGTTACTGCAACGGTATGGTGCTCGTGAACGATGGGGGCCGGTTGGCTGTCATGCTTGGGAGCTACTGATTTGGCTGTCAGGGTAACGGTTACACGCAGATGCCCGGCGGAATACATAGACACGCAAGGAATTGATCTTTCGAATAGGTAGACAGCAATAGGATTTATCACTCTTGTCGGATTTGTGTCACCCCTAGCCTGCGGCTTTTGACATCATCTCAGGAATGGAGCGCTGGGCAGACGTGGTGATTTGACAGCTCTTTCCGTTGAGTCCTTAAACTCTGACACTGTCATTCTTCCAAGAAACCTGGAAGCCCCGGCTGCTTGCCAAGAATGGGGGATATCTTGGACCCTGAATGTCTTGGCATTCTTCCTCCAGGTTGGACAGCTTACATCCTATGAAATTCGAGTCGGCATTAACGAGACCGACAGATGTAATAACAATAGGTAGAAGATGAATCTGTAACGTCAATTCTGAGATCGTGAAAGATAGAGGTGAATCGAGCGTCATGTTTAAGGCCGTTAATGCCGGCGATGCCAATGGCTCCTCTATGTTCATTCAGATTGATGACATGTCTGTACATAACCAGCTCCGTCTTTCGTACTGAATTATCTTGTAACTCTTCAGCATCATCAGTTCAATCTCAAACATTATCTACTCAAACCAGTCCACCGCAACTACCATCAACATGTCCACCGCTGCCGACAAGACCATCATTCTCATCACCGGTTCGTCTTCCCCATCATCCCATGCCCCACCCATTTACTAACCCTCCTCACAGGCGCCAACAGCGGCATCGGCCTCGAAACCATCATCGCCCTCTCCAAATCCTCCCCCTCCTACCATCTCCTCTCAGCTCCCGCTCCTTCCAAAAGGGGCAAGCCGCCTTGTCCAAAATTCAAGCCGACCACAGCCCCGCCCTCCTCTCCCCCATCACCCCCATCGAGGTGGACGTCACCTCCACCTCAACCATCGAAGCCACCAAAACCTACCTGGAGTCCACCTTCTCCCGCCTCGACATCTTGATCCAAAACGCCGGCATAATTGTCCATCATCCCTGCACCACCCTCCAGAACCTCCGCCTCACCTTCGAGACCAACGTCTTCGGCCCCCGCGTCCTCACCGAGACCCTCGTCCCCCTTTTGCAGAAGTCCACGAACCCGAGGGTGATTTATGTGTCGTCCGAACAAGGGAGTATTACACTCAGATTGGACCTAGAGTACCCCTGGCGTGACGTCCCGGGCGCGGAGTACAGGATGAGCAAAGCGGCGTTGAATATGCTGGCCGCGTGTGATAGGTATGGTTTTAGAAGTTGGGGGGGAAAGGTGACGAGTTTTAATCCGGGGTGGTGTGTGACGAATTTGACGGGGGAGGAGGGGAGAGTTATGAGGGAAAGGGGGGGCGCGAGGAGTGCTGAGGATCCGGCGAGGGCGTTGGTGGAGGTGGTGAATGGGAAGAGGGATAAAGAGGCATGGGAGAAGAGTGGGATCTTGGATTTGGATGGGGGGGTTAGGCCTTGGTGATTAAAAAGTAGGGGTGGGTGTTTACGCGCTGTGGTTGTTTGAGGGGTGGTTGTGATGGTAATGGGGGGATTGTAGGGGGGATTTGAGTTTTCAGGTGGTATTCTTATAGACTGGAGGTAGTAACGAGAGACTGTGTTTTTCATTGAAATGTTATGTGATGTATATCCGTCAAAAAGAAATCGTGATAATGATCTGGAGCAATGAATTGAATGCCTTCTGGCACCCCCATCAGTGATCTAGAGCCCCATGTGCAAAAAGGACGACGTGAAGATGTTGAATTTCACAGTCGCCTTCTCACCAGGCTCCGCCACCCTCTGCCCATTTCTGGACCCTTCATGGTCCTGATATTGCTGACCAATCAATAAGTTGCTTAGCAGATAACATTGAAGCTCTTGATTGACGCCCCATTACGACTTCCGCAGCTGTTCACTTGAAAGCTCGAGAACTCTCCAAAATAACCAGTGCCGGCATATACCATTAACCGGCAACTTAATCCCTATAAACCTATTAGTAATATAGAATATATATTTTATAGTATGCTACCCGATTAAAATAAACGGTAAGTATTAAAGGAATTAATACTATTGGTCTAGCTAATAGGATTCTAGATTTGATTTTAGGTATTATTCGGAAAGTAAAATCTATTAGACCGTTAAGCTTATAAAGTAACGGCGGTATTAAAATTACTATTTTAACGACGAATAATATTATTTAAAGTCGGTATTAAAATTAAAATAAAATATATAACGTGATCCACCATCGAGTGGAACAACCCATCGAGTGGAACACTTTTCCCGCAACCATAACCACCCGACTTTGAGACGCGACTCTTTTACCACAACAATGTCTGATAATCTCTCCGAAAACCGAGTTCTTCTTGCGATTAATGCGATTCGATCGACGCCGCGATTAAGCATCCGTCGCGCCGCAGAGATTTACAATGTACCTCCAACGACGATCTACCGTAGAATGAACGGCCAGACCGCGAAAGCCGATAGCTACAACGCCCGTTCGAATTTAACAAAGATCGAAGAGGAGGTGATTGTTCAATATATACTCGACCGAGATTCGCGAGGGTTTTCGCCCCGGGTTGTCGATGTGGGTGATATGGCCGATCTTCTGCTTCAGAAACGCGGTGCGCGACACGTCGGAAAGAACTGGCCAGACCGCTTCGTTGTACGACGTCCAGAGTTAAAGACGCGTTTTAATCGCGTCTATGACTATCAAAGAGGCCTCTGCGAAGATCCTGCAATTATTGAGCCATGGTTCCGACTGGTCACCAATATGCGTGCGAAATACGGTATCCTCGACTGCGACTTCTATAATTTTGACGAGACGGGCTTTATAATGGGCATGATACGGCCCGGGATAGTGGTTACACGCTCCGATCGGATCGGCAAACCAAAGGCCATTCAGCCGGGCAATCGAGAATAGGCAACGGCGATTTGCAGCATCTCTGGCGACGGGTATGTGGTGCCGCCTTTCTTAGTAGTAAAGGGCCGTTTCCACCTCGCTAGTTGGTACTCCGAACATCAGATACCCGACGATTGGGCCGTCGTAACGACAATTAACGGATGGACGGATAATAAGACTGGTCTGGAATAGTGTGACGAACCCCTGTACAGAACCTCTGAAAGGGATACGGGTTGAAGGTAACTTCTGACAATTGGTTCGGTGCAGCTAAACAGTGCACAACAAGATGTCTCGATGTAAACACAAGATGCCGTGAATACAACTGTGAATTGCATACTGCGGAACTATCTGCAAGCTATCTAGTTCCTCCGTATATATAGACCTAATGCCAAGCCGGGATCATTCTGTTTCTCCCCGGATCATGACCGACTCCTAAGGATCATGAGTGATTCCTGGGAATCGCTCATGATTCCTTCATGTCCCGGATGATCCACCTCTTACTGGTCCATCCTCCTTTCTCTTGATTGGCTGCCGTGCCTCCTCTTTCCTATTGGTTATTCTTTGCGGGTGTCCACATCATATTCGTGAAACCAATGAGGAGCTTAGTAAGAGACGGAGAGCCAAAAAAACACGTGTGCGGCTTGGAGGGTCACTTACTGTACAAGAGGCACAGGATCTACTGGATCAGAAGGCTGTGGGTGAGCAGGTAGCCCAGGAAATACGACAAAGTGGTGGTGGTGCAGGGGGGTCTCGTACGAAGATTCGGTGCTATGGTGTGTGCGGCAAGCCTGGCCATAATGCACGTACGTGTAAAGAGGCTGCAGAATCGTCTGATTTATCTATTTTTAGTTCAGTTATCGTTGTTTACTAGTGTTGTGGTTGTATAATTGAGGATAGTTATGGTGGGGTGGTGGAAAGTGTGTCGCTCGCTTATCTATGTCACTCGCTTATTACGTACGTTAGTTTTTTTTTATATATTTTTAATATAACACGATATTATAAATTTAAAATATTAAAAAAAATATTATTAAATTAATTAATAAAAGCATTATTAATAAAAAGTATTATTAATAAAAAAAATATTAATTTTTTTAAACAATTTTTTTCATATAAAATAAATAGCGGGAAAGATAGTAAAAAAAAAACGTACGGTGTTACAACCCTGGTACAGGACGGTTATAGGGCCACGAAAATAAAGGGCTAATCGGGAGAACGTATAGGGGAGCCAATTACAGTAAAGGTAGAGTAATCAGTGTAATTAAGGCACTGAGCAGACTAAGCAGAGTAATCAGTGTAATCAGGGCACTAAGTAGACTAAGCAGAGGTAATTAGTGTGATTAGGGCACTGAGCAGACTAAGCAGAGTAATCAGTGTAATTAGGGCACTAAACAGACTAAGCAAAGGTAATCAGTGTAATCAGGGCACTAAGCAGACTAAGCCGAGGTAATTAGTAGCCTTAGGAAACTAATTACGGCTTAGTATAAGGATTATATATACGGAGAAACTAGCTAATATAAATAAATAGTTCCGTAGTATGTAATTTAGCTTGTATTTACGGTATTTAGTATTTACATTAAGACATCTTATTATGCACTATTTAGCTACACCGAACTAATTGTTAGAAGTTACCTTTAACTAGTATCCCTTTCAGAGGTTCTGTATAGGGGTTCGTTATATACGGGGTACTAAAAATTTTATTTTTATATTATAACGACTTTTTAAATTAGTTTTATATAACGAAATTACGGAAAAATTAATAACCGTTAAAATATTACCGCTAAAACGTTAAGAGTTTTAAACCTTTAAACGGATAACTAAATAATATTATATTATATTAAATCTTCTTTAAATTTATAATATTTATTTTTATCGGTTACCGAATTTTAATTAAATATTATTATTAGCTGGTAAGCCCTGATAGGCCTATAATATAGAATTTATATAGGGTTGCTGTAAAATATAGCAGTGCGTAAGCGGAAGCTGGAGGATACGACGGCAGTGCCGAAGGAAGGTAAAGCACTGTAATATAGTGAGGTATAAAGAATAAGAATTACCTTTATTACCTTTGGCCTTGGCCTTTGGCCTTAGCTTTAAGCTTTTGCCCTTAAGGAAAGAAAGAAAATTATTTTATAGGAGAGAGGAGAGGTCTATATATAGGCCTTCGTAAGCCTACTGTGGGTCCTGTAGGCCCTGGAAGCCCCTATACCACTTTGGGGTATTTGGTGGGCTTAGGTGGGTCTAGTGTAGACTCACGGAAATCTATAGAACCTTCGGCAGTAAAGGTGCCTTATAAATCACACTATTATAGTAACTTACTACGTAAGCCTGTAGCTACTTTAGAAGGTTCTAGTATCCATTGACTAAGCCTTAGGCTACAGTAGCCCTGTAAGCCTTTAAGGGTCCTTTGTAAAGAATATTCTAAAGGGATCTAAGCCGGGAAGTTCTATTACTGCTTATAGTAGTATTGCCCACTGCAATATTAATCTATAGGGCAGTAAGTAAAGCACTTAGTAGTACCCACATATTAACACCTTTTCTGTAGGAGTGCTAGGTGCTTACTTACTAGGCCGTAGGGCCCTTATAAGTACAAGGCTTCCGGTAGTTTATTAGCTCTAAAAAGCGTTAGAACTTAGGTGCTGGTAGGGCCTTTATTAAGCCGTATAGGGACCTTTTTAGTACTATGATTTAGTCCTTCGAAGGGTCCCAGTAGTGTTGTTTTAGAAAGTTTATAGCGGTTTAGCTACTAAGGCTATATTCGTATAGGCCTTTAGGGACTTCTATATATATATCGGAGTCCATACTAGCGTTAAGAAAGGCCCTAACGAAATCGATTTACTTAATTTCTAAGTCTTCTTTAGCTGTAATAGCTAATAAAACCCGCTAGGTAGGTGGTGCCGTAGTAGCTATAAAGGTCTCCGTGAAATCGGTTCCGGGTACCTGTTGGAAGCCTCTAACTACTAGCCGGGCCTTAAATTTAATAATTTAGCCCTGCAAGTCCTTTTT